CGTGTGCTCTTCCGATCTATTAAGAATGCAACCAGAGAATTTTTCTTACTGAAATGGTAGTTTTTTTTACATAAATGTTAAATTATATGTATTTATTAAATGAATAAATATATAGTCTACTAGACTGTCTACATAGATGACTTTTACAATAGTTTACGTTTAGTTGTCTACACGTAAATGTAGAGTATTATATTTTACGTGTAGATGCCCTGAGTAAAACTGAGCTATCATGCCAATGGATGTGTGATAACTGCGATAAAATTATACATAATATTACGATAATGCTGTCCCTAAAATATTTTTATTGAAATTAAATAGAAAGATTTGAATAAAACATACGTATTTTGCACAAAGTAAATCATTTTTTTAATTCTATATATTCACACTTATATGCACGTTGTCAATCAACGTATTATAAAATCAATTATAGCATCATACTTCAGTAATGATTTCGTAATGAAATAATGAAATATATTCGAAACCAAGAACATATATAATATATAAATTAATTTATAAACAATTAAACAAAGTAATTATTTTGTTATTGTAAAATAAAATTTAGTGATACAACGTACTGTAAATAGCAAATCTTATTCCTGATGTATTTTGAATATTAATTTATTTTAATGGAATTTTGAATTTAAGACGTGATTGTATCTTAAATTAATGGTATAATTTTCTTGTTACATTCTAATGTAATTGCCGGTCATTCGGTGTTTACCACCATGATCGTTTCTTAACCGAAGGTGAGACAAGGACAGACAGAGATTGATTGATTGTCTTTATCTAACTAACGTATACTCCTGCCATCTCAGACTCAAACCACATTTATTTTTAACATTTTCTCAGCTATGATTTTAATATTTTTAATAATTTTATCAAGTGTTAAAAAATGGATATAACTACATAGTTCTCAATTCAAAAATGGATGAATTGGCGGGATATGTCTATGGTCCACAAATAGTGTGAGAAGGAAGATCGTTAGGTTTCTTCTCCTTTACTAACGTACACGCGCGCAGCGTACATTAGTAAAGGACAAGAAACCTTACGATTTTCTCTCTCTTTCCCTCTCACACAATTATGGTATGGATGCCCCTTCTACCAGAAAACCCAGCCAATGTAGAAGCTATCTTATATGTCTATATGGTTCTGATGGTCCCACGAAGAAGGCCGCCATGATCCCTCTCAGTATTTGGCAAACTAAACAGTTGAAGACAGTTCAAGACGGCTTTTTTTTGTTTTCGCTTACATTTAATTTATAATTGTTTATATAATTGACATTCATGCATTTAGTTATCGATATTTAACTCTCAACACGTCACGGAGTTTCCTTTTCTGTCATGCGCACATATAAAAGGCGCATTTTTTGACATTTTTGACACCTTCAGTATCTCAACAAAATGAGGAAATACGAAACCTTTAAAAGGAAGAAATATGAAATCCTGCAGCCTATCGGCGAGGGATCTTTTGGGCAAGTGTACAAAGCAAGAAAGCGTTCAGACGGTGAAATCGTGGCTTTTAAAATGATAAGAAAGGTATATTGCCTATGAAACAAGGAGAGATAAAGAATTTGTATTGCTTTATGACTAACGACTCCGATATGTTTTCCCTGCAGTGTGGCAGATCAAACAAGGAGCTCAACAGTCTACGTCAAGAATGCAATATTCAGCGTTTTTTGCAGCATCCAAATATCGTGCAGATGATAGATTCATTCGAAACAGAAAATGAAGTATGTATATCGGATTTTAATTACATTCATAAGTAAAGCATATATTTTTAGATATTCTATAAAATATCTGATTTAGATCGTGGTTGTAACAGAATACGCAGATAAGGAATTGTACCACATACTCGCCAAGGAAGGTAGATTGTCCGAGGAGAGGGCACAAGTAATAGCTTGCGATTTGGTGTCTGCCCTTTATTACCTCCATTCAAATCGGGTGATGCACAGGTTTGTATGCAATTGCAGACAAAAATGGTTTATAATATACAATTGTAAAAATTGTGTTAATATTATTAGAGATCTCAAGCCACAAAATGTTCTCCTGGAAGCAAATGGTATAGCGAAACTGTGCGATTTTGGATTTGCTCGTAGCATGAGCACTGGTACTCATGTACTCACTTCAATCAAAGGTACGCCATTGTACATGGCTCCAGAACTCATAGAGGAACATCCATATGATCACAATGCTGATTTGTGGTAAATTTGTGCGCAATCACATAAATATATAAATATATATTACACAGTGTGACAAAAAAAAAACACTTTTTTTTCTCTCCGAAGTGCGATAATACGTGTTTCGTGAAGATTTTTTCGCGCTGAATTCAATGCCGTTAGCAGAATTTGCCTAGCACATCCAGATTTTGAATAAATTGAAATAAAAAAGAGAAAAAATATGTTTTTAGCTACTTTTTTGCGGCAAAAAGAAAACTGGTTTCTAAATAAACTCAACGGCATCTGAAAGTTTAACTTAAGAGCTTTCAAACGAACTTTAATGTACGATCGTGCGATCATCAAGTTGTTTCTTCATCAAGTTGTAGCTGTTTAAATTTTACATTTTTTGCAACATTCTGTTTTGGCGTCAGCTCACATATATAGATGTGAATTTTGATCAGCCGTATGTATTGTCAGCCGTATATGTTGCTTGAGAAGCGCTTTCGTTTCAATAATTCTTCTATTTTGAATACTATAAAAATGTATAATAGCATATGTATTCTAATTCTTCATAAAACATACACATACGACAGAGAGTATTTAGAGTTAAATACTGTGGAAGTGACGAATCACGGGGTCCTAATCTCTGCGTAAAACGCACATGCCATGTATAAATACGTATTTATTTTTCTTGTAAATTTTACAGAAAGTCTAAAATTTAAATAGTCATAACTTGATGAAAAAGAAGTCGTACGATGAACCGAAGTTTATTTGAAAGTTCTTGAATTATATTTTCAGATGCCATTGAGATTTATTTAGAAACTATAAGTTTTCTTTTCCTACAAAAAAATGTTAAATGTGGTCAATCTTCTTTCATTCCAATTTATTCGAAACGTGTTAAGAAATTTCTGCTAAAGGTATCGAATCGTGTTCAGCACGAAAAAAATCTTCGGGAAATCTATTATCGTACTTCGGAAAGAATTTTATTGTAACACATTTGTGTTATGATTTATATTATGTAGAAAATGTATCTCAAAAGTAATTTTACATTTTAGGTCTTTAGGCTGCATTATTTACGAATTAGTGGTAGGTGCTCCTCCATTTCAAACTAACTCAATCTTGCACCTGGTTAAGTTGATCAGATTTGAAGCAATAAAGTGGCCAGATTTCATATCTCCAATTTGCAAGAGCTTCTTACAGGTAAAAATATTGTAGTATTTGTATTGATAAAACTTTTGCACTCGTATATTATACGTTTATTACACATATAGAGATTCATTAATTTGCGAGAAGATGTATTATTATGTTATTCATAAATATTATATAATAGTGAATTGTCAAAACAAACTATTTTAATTTCAGGGTTTACTTCAGAAAGACCCTTCTCAACGATTAACTTGGCCGAATCTTCTCCAACATCCGTTTGTCAAGGATCGAATTATAATAGTAGGTAGCACTGTACCGACTCCATTTACAGATCCGTTATCTGCAAGCCAAGAAAGAGAAAAGCAGCAACAATTACAAAGTTTAGCAATGCGTAGTGCAAAACAATCCAAGTATAGTAATTGTTCCTTTCTTTTTTAAAGAAAGTGTATAGTATATACGCGAATAATTAATTTTTTTTTCGTGCAGGGTTGCAGAGAAAGCAATAAAAAAATTACAAGAACAGGAAAGAAGAAATTACGAGTATCGACAACGAACATGTATCTCGCAACCGGGCTATCTAATGTCCCCTGCTTATTGTCATCATATGATAAACCACTGTCAAGCATTACGTCGCAGTGAGCCAAGTGGCACTGATTCTAGCGCCAGTATCGATGTACTCTTAGGAAATCTCAGTCTCAGGGCGTCTCTGAGAAGTGATCTTTTAGCTGCAGATCACGCTCTATGCCAGAGTGACTGTCCGCATAGCGCAGACGCGCAGCACAATTTCCCAATGCAAGACGATCACTCGAAACCTGTTCAAACGCAAACGGATGATAGTCATTCCATACGACAATTGAATAAGGAAATATATCACACTAATGCTCAAGGTGATGGACTCAATGTAGGCCAGCAAATCGAAAAATCTTCACACGTAGATCAAACTACGCATGGCGATGGTGACTGCAAACAGAGCTGCTTGAGCATTGATTACGAACGGGAATTTGGTGAGAGAAACCTGGCTGAAAAACACATGAGATTGCCAGATTGGGATCCGAGGGCGGTGGAAAGGCCCATCGAAAACGAAGAATGGATTGCGTTCTTACAAAGATCAATGGAAGAAGTTATGGAGGGTGAAATTGATTCATTGCTGCAGCAGAATTGCGTCTCGGTGTTTGTTTCCCCTTTACGAAATCCAGCAGCCGGTTGTCGAGTTGTCGAATACGTAACTTGTTTATTATCATTGCCGTTTACCGTATCAGTCAGTAAGGAGAATCTCAAGAAGATCGAACGGGTTTATTTGGACGTGAGAGTAGTACCAAATCTCGTTTACGCCATAAAGCTGTTGATGTCGGAACGTTCCGATAACGAGTTGAATGCGACGAATACAGGGAACATGAGAACGAGATCGGCATCCTCTTTATCCGCCGATGAACTTCAAGCACTCGAATGCGCGATGCTAGTTCTCTGTAGATTGGTTTACATTGAGAATCAATTTCTCATGCAGTTTTGCGACGCTATTTACATTGTGAATGGAATGCCATTTCTGCAGCAACTGCTAACTTTAGAAAAAAGGAAGGCAAGAGTCGTTGCAGATCTCGTTGCTATTTTAAATAACGTTTTACGATCTCAACCTGAGAATGCCGAGCTTGTGGAACAAGTCGTGCTGCGTACAAAAACACCCGGTGAGCCGACTGTAAATTATTTCCCGCGTTGCCGCATTAATTTTAATGTAATGAATTTACATGAAGTTTCTTGAAGGAGCTTCGGTGGAGCAGCTTAACAAACTTCTCAATCATCGACAAAGTGTCTTACGAGCAAGGACATGCACTATGATCAGATTGCTGGGTAGATTTTGCTGCAGAGCGTTACAGCAGATCTGGAACAAGTCATTGAGAGATCTTATAGAGGGTTTAATCGAGGATGAAGATGAACATGTCCGACACGTAAGTTAATACAGTATTTTTACGCGATTTTATATAATATATAATAAATATAAGTATATATTTATATAATATATATAAATATTATTTTAGGCGGCGGAGGAGGCTGTAAATGAATTGAAACAACTAACGTATTACAGTTAGAATTGTAATACCGGTTAAGTGCCTTAGGATGAAATAAGCAGATTGTTAGAGACCAGTTTTCAATGTTATTGTTGCTCAATAAGTCTTACGATGCCTCAAGATTAAATACTTTATTTTTGGATAGACTGATAATTATACTTAAGAGATGAAATATTTATAATATTTTTATATATTCATTTATAAAATGATAAATGTGCACTTTAATCTAAAAAAACACGACGATGTGCTATATTTGCAGATATACCCATGCTTAATTATTATACATTCTAGAATCCGATTATTTAAAAATATGAATTTAATCGAATATCCATTCTAGAGAAATCTCTTCGAAAGACTCAGAGGAATTGCTGCCGTTTCCTTCTGGTTTACGATCGCCACATTGCTCTTTGTACATTGCTCGTACCTTGGCCACGTCCTTTTCGCTGAGTCCGTCTCGCTGACCAAGTTGCACCTTCTCTTTCTGCGAAATAGCATAAACGTACATTGAGAGCAAACCGAAATCAATAGGAATATTGCGAGTGCGCGCACGATTATTACCTTCGGCGTAATAGTAGGTTCTCCATTCCTGGAGAACGCGTGGGAGCTGTAGTGCATGACACTCTTGTAATCATAGCCGATACCATAATCGGTGACAGTGCGATTGTCATACTTGTTGAAGTTATGCTCCTTACCTGCAAAAGTTCATTAAAATTTTATTCATGCATTATACAAGAGCGTTCATCCTAAGAATACGTCAGTTGACACCGTTTTGACTCGGATACGAATAGTGTTTGAGCGTTGTTTAATAAATGGCGTTCAAAGTTTACTTTAAATACTCGTGAAAAATTGTTGCAATAATTAATCAAAGTACACGATCATTTTTTTATGACTAAAGAGACAAGAAATTAATAATGTCAATTGATTACCTCACAAACATAATGTTATCATTATTAGCTGTACGTACCCGACTTGATATTCTCCCAATGTATCGTGACCCACTCGTCTCGGTCCGCGGCGCTCTGCTGATGGTAAAAGCCTAAGGCGTGCATAAGCTCGTGCACGACAACACCGTGATGAATGCATCCTGGATTCTGTAGATTCAATACCTGTCCGTGACCGTGGCGACCCACCAAGGACCAGCATCCTGACTTTTTCGCTTGTATCGTCACATAATCGTCGTCGCTATCCTTGTAAGGCCGAAAACGCAAGCAGGTTCTCTCATGGTACTCCTGCATGGCTTCTTTTATCAATTCGATTTGATCTCGATCTGCGAATGACGTGAATGTTAATGACTAATATCGAATTAAAACTGAGTTTTTAAGAGTTTATGTAAAACGAATTACTAAAAATTCAACAGCGGATTTTTAACATCTGAGTTTAAACAAATTTATTTTGCTTCTTTTTAGTTTTACTTTTGAAAAAAGACAACGATGCAGATAATCCAATTAAAATAGAAATTAATCAACATTAGCAAATTTGGTCGTAAATCTAAATGTAATGGATGATATCTGTGATATTAATTAGAAATATTTATGGCAATACTATACTTATACTTTATTATCACAATTATATATAAGAAGAAAAATTACCAAAGTCATCTTCTTGTATAAAATAGGGCACGACACCGCCGGGCCATCGTGCTGTAGCGTCTAAAAGACCATTTTTCCACGTTGGACTATCCGGATGAATCATTATATCACCTTCGTGTAAACCGCTCAATTCCCAAACATTTTCCAGATTATTTGGACTCCAAGATTTTATGTTACTAGCTGCAAAAGAAAAAGGAGAGTGATAATGACAGATTTTGATGAAGCGCTTTTCGATATTACACTTATTGTGAATAAAATCGATCTTGAGTAAAAAAATCAATTTTTATTTTATATATTCACAATAGCTGCAAATTTGTCAAAAATGAAATTGTCAGTAATTTAATTACCAATTTCCTCATGATTGTGATCGCGATCGAAGACTCCATCGAACCGAGGCTCGGGCGGTATAGCGCGACCGTGGGATCCACGATGACTTTTGGCTGGTAATCCCGAAGTGACGCTGATCGCTACAAATAATAAGATTATTCGCGTTGAGGCCATTGTTTGCCCTGAACTAGAGCACCACTGCAGATCTGACACTGCAGGGTACCGTTCCTTTCCTTATATACGAAATCCTTATCCACCATAGCACGCTCACCAGCGGAATTTGTTTAGACACCAGATATGCAAATACGAAGATTATCTCAGGGGATTTGTAAAGTAAAAGGCGTGCAGCTCCGGAATGTGGACGTCTTTTCTCGGCTTTTCTGTAGCGTTAGTTTCAGCGTCTGAGATGTCAATAATTATTGTCATCTTTCGCGTTACTTGTCGAGTTTGAGAATCATTTAAGTCAAAAATAAAAATTATATAATCGCGGATGTAGCCTGAATATAAATTACGCAGCTTATCTTTCCGCTGATTGTTGCGACCTAATAGCGCCAGAAAATAGGTCCCATGGTAAGCTCCGGTTAAAATTATCACGGCATGTTATTATGGTGTACATTGAGACGATACATTTGCATAGAGGAAGGAAACTACGTATACACGAAGTAAATACAAATTAAGTTTTATTCAGCTATCTCGATATGTATAGAAAAAATTTTAAATACTTTTTCCTGTGTAAAAGACATATTTTTTCAACTTTTGTATACGTAATAACACATTTTTAAATTAGATAATTTGATGATTAAACTTAAACCATCATTTTTTTTCAAAAAAGATTAAATAAAAAATGAAATTTTATTAACAAGAAGTTTCATTATTATATTTTTTAAAATCCTTAATTATCAATTAAATTTCTTAGATATATAATTAAATACATTTTTAATTTATAGTTGAAGATGTTAAATATATTTTAAAATCCTAAGTTATAGAATTATAAGATAGTTTAATATTTCAAGAAAATGTATTGTTGACTTAATGTCTAAATGAATATCATAAGCAATATGTGATATTCTGTACTAAATCTTTTTTTTAAAATAATCTATAAAAAAAAGTTTATCTGCAATTAATAGCTTCTAACATAGAAAAGCAGATACTTAATTTTAGCTGTTTTGCATCGAAATAACCCATGTAACTTTTACTCTTTACATAGCTGCATCTATCATAGAATATCTTTCATTTCTGATCAGGTACGAAAAATATGGCATGATTTTTCTTCTTTCACTCGTTCGACAGATTATTTATCGCCGTTCTGAAAACGAACGGCACGGTAGATTCGACAAAGTAACGTCGAGAAGAAGGCGCCTGATCGGATCTCCGGCCTCGAGGCGACGACGATCCACGGATGTGGGTCAAAATGATTCGGTAGCCGGCCGCGTAATTCAGTACATCGGTATATTATCTCCGAATCATTCCGTGCCTTTCCCTCCGGACCCCTCTGTCTCCGCCGCGCGTCCGAGACCCGTCCGCAGCCTCGCGTCTTCACTCGGAGGCCCGGACACATTCGAGGCGAGAAAAAAAGGCGTGCAATTATAACAGCACGAAATTAACGATAGCGATTTCGTGACCGCGCGCGTTAATGCACGAAAATGGCGTTGGTAATAAAAATCGCACAATACACATACATAAGTTATACACATCTAATAGCCACTCTGTCATAAGTTAGAATTAGAGAACACAAGAATTAGAGAGTTATCCTAACGTGAAGAAAGCGGACGATATTCAAAATACATCATCGATCATTTGTAGATAGTTATGGGAAAATAAATATTCAAATAGAATGCAATCTGCATGAAACAATGATGCCTGTAAATAGTTTTGGCATAGATTAATTGTTAGATTTTAATTTAAAAAATTACTTCACGTTTTAAGAGTTCTTCAAAATAATATCAATCTACTTGTCAGTTTTTCAAACTGTAATTATTATTATATATTTATTGTAGCATTTCATTGTAGTATTATACATGCTGTATACAGTTAATGCAAAAATATACCTATCTAACTTTTATTTAACGATGCGATGTTTTAACATCATCTTTAAATTAAATAAATATATTTTAGATCAGAAACAAAGTTAATTGAGTGCTAAACACGAGGTGAAGATATTTATGTATGTATTACATTTCTTATCTCTACTTGTGCTATTATCTAGAAATCTTCTCAGCATTTCTCATTTCGTTATTATATTTAATATAATTTGCATGTACATTGATAAACTTATTATTCACCAACTAGCAATTCATGTTGATTTTATTTATCTTTATCTAAGAAATAAACGAAAAACAAGGCTAGATCTCTCAAAGGAGTATTTCGAAGGAACCAGAAAATTTCGAAAAGAAATACTTCGCGTTTACTTTAGAAATGTACAAGTCAAAGTATCGAAGCATTTGCAGAAGGGGAAAACGAAAACGACGTTTGCTTTAGAAATGTACGAGACAAAATAACGAAGGTACGTTTCTAAAGCGAACGTGTTTGTCTTTCCCTTCCGCATGGGTCTCGGACAAAATTGTCGCGTGATTCGCGAGCGTCCGCACGATCGACTCGCGAACCGGTCTAGACGTTCATTAGATAAAAGCTCCGTTTTAACGTGCGGGTATACAAACACGCCGCGTACGCAGAGTCGCGCCCAAAAATCTCGCAAGTAGGGAATCGAAGGCAAGGCCAACGACCACGCGTTCCAGATTCGGAGAAGCCTCCTCGTAGCCTAAATTCTAACCGGACATCTTGAAACCGCAAACGAACAAGAATGACTTTTTCATGTTCCCTATTGATTATAGCTCGCACTCCACATATGAGTTTTCATTTTCTTTTCTACTTCTTTTCTTAAATCATGTTCCCCGCCTCGCCCACCTCCATGTCTGTCTATAATATTTTCTATTATGTCTGTTAATTATTTCTATCTTTGTTCTCTCTTTCTCCTCGTCTTAGGCTGATTTTCCTAGGATTTTCTTTTCCTTTTGCAAGACACTTTTTCTCACAAAAATCGAATTAGGACTTTTAGTCAATTTGCCCATTAATCAAAATTTTAGTTCTCGATGGATAAAATTTGGAGGCAAAAGATCAGTCTAATTATTGATGATCCTTTTCGATTTTTCAGTTTTACATTAATTTTTTATATTTTACTTCCTATTTTGCTGAGAGTAGTAAGCAGAGATATCTCTGTATTAATCTACCGCGAGCGTCAAAGAGCTAAGGTCCGTATCACACTAGCGGCTGCGACTGCGATTGCAACTGCAATTGCGATTCCTTCTTGGCCAATCAGAAAACAGCGGCCAGCGACTGCAACTCGCGACTACCATTTGGCCGGCCGTCCATTTTTTGAGTCGTAATCGCAGTTTCAATATAGGGCTGCGGTCCGATTTGCGCTCAAAGTGCTCGTGAGCATTATTTGTCTTTATTTAATATTCAATTAACAACAAGGATGAAATGATTCCAAGAGCATTGTGAGCATGAATCGGACCGCAATCTTCTTAGAAGTCTTCTCAACATTAATTATTTACTACTTATTTATTATTTACTACTTATGCGTATGTTGCAAAATAGCAAAAGTTGATGAAATAATCACAAGAATATGAAACACACGTACAATTGTTTTCGCAGACAACGATACGAAAAATGCGTGCAACCGGTGTTATATTGCGTTTGCAGAATGGATCGCGCGGGATTGACTTAACAATTGAATGAGTGCGCATGCAGCATCTTCAGGATTTTCACCTTGCTTTTTACACCATGGGTCCAGGACCCTTGTCAAGTTTATTGATACTTCATTCATTGATTGAAGAAAAGGGCCGGTCAAAAATATGTGAAAATATTGGGGAAAGTCAATGAAAAAAAGAACCTATTGTGAAGAAGCGCCACGATAAATTCTTCGTCATCCAATTAAGATAGGTCAATGACACCATTACGGATTCTGCTATTGTAATATTTTAAAATATATTATTATCCCGAATTCTAGATAGGATTCTAGATTCTCTTACCCACGAGAGCAGCCAAGAATAGCACCATTGACTATGGCTGAAACCATGCACTAATCTTATTGTTAGTGAGATCAATGGAGATGATTCTGCAGGTATGCACATAGCTAGCATTTCTATTTATGACTTTGACCGCTAAGCTTTTTAATCCTAGGTCACCACTATTATTTTTTGCCTTTACCTTTTCCGCCACCCCGGATTAGCTGTAACGGGACTTTTTCACGCTATATTTCTAAATTAAAAGCTTTTTTTTAGCTCAATACGTGTGAAACCGATATCTCAGAGATACCGATATCTCTGACAAAGACAGATAGACAAGAATTAAATAAAAAATATTTTAGTAATATATTCAAGTAATGGTTTAAAAAAATGTAATTTTAAAAATGACTAAATCGCATTGCATACGTTGTATCTCGGTGAAACCATACCCATTCGTGCCGAAAATGGCAAGAATCGTATGTAAAATCGGATAAAGAATCGGATAAAGAATCAAAATGAGAGTTTTGATGAAATGGACAAAACAAAAAATGACCATTGTTATATGATTCAGGAAGCGCCGATTAATATAAGGATAAGTAGCAAAATTGAATTATTATTCAATTTTGCTATTAAACACATAAATGTGTTAAGTTTAACTTGTGAAAATATTAAACCGTATTGGAGGAAATCAAGACCAATAACAACGAGTATATAAATTATTAATTAATATATTAAATAATCATATACACCATAATTTAAATAATATATTGCAATATCATCATTAGCAATAAAAGATAAAAGAGAAAATATTAAAATCTTGTCTCCTTAGATAGCATGCTTTTTTCCTCATTAAGATTTCTCTTTTAAGAAGAGAAATTCCATTTCAAATTCTAAAATATCTAAAGATTCTTCTGTGAAAAATATTTTCGATGATACTGACATTCATCACTGGTTGTATTATATCTATTTCCTGTCGATTGTTGAGAGGTAAACGAAAGAGCGTAATCACACAAAAGAATGAGTGAATAGAGATCGAGGTATTCGCTCAGGTAAACGCATTGCAAGGAAACAAGCGGCCTCAAGGATACAACGCAGCACGTCATCATTGCCGTACTCTCGTCGGAGTCATTGTGCGCGGCGTAAATTCAGCGTGGCGAATGCAGCACGTGACTTGTCTAAC